CCAATTTCTTATGGTAATCATATATATGACTAATTTATGACAATGTATAGATGAGGAGCAAATGAGAGTTGTGAAGAAGGCACTTCACGTATCCAAAGCACAATCAACAGTTGTTTGTCGTGAAGATGAACAAAGACAGGTTTTCGAGTTTGTGAAAGGTTGCATAGTTCAGCACAAGGCTGGGAGTTTATACATATGTGGTTGTCCTGGAACTGGAAAATCACTGTCTATGGAGATAGTAGTTCAACAAGTTGGTGACTGGGCAAATCAGGTATCAATTTTTTTGTGGTTTTACTAGAACTTGCAAATTATTAGTAATGTAAATGTCTGAAAGGTTGAATACCTTTGAATTTGATCAGGCTGATTTGCCACCTGTGGATACATTGTCTGTGAATTGCACGTCGCTGACGAAAACAACTGATATTTTCAGCAAGGTATAGGAACTATAGAGTATAATAGACTTCAAAATTCTTGATTTCAGATCAATATTTATGCTTATGATCTTGTTTTGTTTACAGGTACTTGGTGAAATAGAGCCCTTGAAGAAAGCTAATTGCCACTCTTCACCTCTACAACATCTTCAGAGTTTGTTTTCTCAAAAGCAAGAATCATCCAGCACAGGAATGATGTATGGCTTTTTTTTTTCTGTGCTTCAGTTACCTATCATAGTTTTTGAAAGAAAAAGAAGTGTTATCCTTATCCGAAATCTTTTCCAGGTTAATAATTGCAGATGAGATGGATTACTTGATCACAAGAGACAGAGGAGTCCTGCATGATCTTTTTATGCTCACAACTTTGCCGTTTTCAAGGTGTATACTTATAGGTACTGCCTTTTAGCACACAAAGCTATGACTTAATTCATATTTGTATCCATTTCCTCTGGTCATGTGCAATATTGAGTTTCTCTGTCGCTTATGATTTCCAGGTGTAGCAAATGCAATAGACCTTGCAGATCGTTTTCTTCCAAAATTGAAGTCCCTTAATTGTGAGAATTTCTTAACTTTGAAATTTTTGAACGTTTTTCCCTGTGTACAGAAAGTCTCAACTCTGAGAAATAAGTGTTGAATCTACTCCTCAACTGCTGTTTCTACTATTTCTTTTACAGGCAAACCTATGGTTATCACTTTCCGTGCTTATTCTAAAGATCAGATCCTTAGGATACTTCAGGAAAGACTTATGGTAATTCTTTCTATCCCGTTGCATCATCAGATGTTAAAGATGTCTTGTCTGAGGTAGAAAAACTTGTCTAATTGTGATGGGATAATTTAGAGAGGATATCATGCACTGTATATTCTTTGATGGTAACCTTTGCAAGGATATTAGATAAGCCTATGTAAATCCGTGCCTTATTAATTGATACAAAATCATTGCAATGCCAGTATGCCACACAAGAGTACCTGCTATTAATAGTACTTGAAATGAATTGATCAAGGAAATATCACAGAGAGAAAGACATAAATTGTTAAATTATTTTTTTATATTAGAGTTTGGCCAACTTCAAATTCTTGTGCTGTTGAGATGGATACATATCTGAAACCCAAATGATTATCTGTGTTGTTTCTATATATGCCTCACTAATTTTCATCTTTGTTGTAACAGGTTACTACTCCATATGTTGCATTTCAATCAAAAGCCTTGGAGCTCTGTGCCAGAGTAAGAACCCAAATTAGTCCTGATCGTGTCTCTCAGTCCTGAGTCAACTATTCTTTCCTCGTAACCATTAATTATTGATGTTCATCTTTATTTGTGGTTTGTTAGAAAGTTGCGGCCGCATCAGGTGACATGAGAAAGGCTCTATGTGTCTGCAGGTGAATTCAACTTTTTAAAATATTTTCCACAGAGTTTGTTCTTGTTTTGGGAAACATGAGTGATATAGTGCTTGGCTTTATGTTTTGGAAATATGTAATGTAGAAGTCTCTACTCTTTCTAGAAGTGATACTTTCAGACCCTCAGTTAATGAACAGAGAGCTTTCATGCTCCTTTAATCTATTTTTTCAGGAGTGCTCTAGAAATCTTAGAAACAGAAATAAGAGGATCAACCTGTCCAGACTCACAAGGTCCAAATCCAGATGATCCAGTGGTTAGTACTTGCATCTTTTTCTCTTCTATGTTAGGCTTACTTAGCGATAATGTGATGTGAATATGACATTAACATACGGATTCTTATGGCTCTTGGTCTTTTTGCATAACCTTTATTTTCCTCATAGTTACAGGTGAGGATGGATCACATGGCAGCTGCAATATCTAAGACATTTAAATCTCCAGTAGTTGAAACTATGCAGTCTCTTCCTCAACACCAACAAGTAAGTTACATCCACAAACATTCATTTTTCAAAATGACTTCAATGTCTTATAACTTTTTTGATTAAGCAAGAAATATTATAAAGAATCTAACCGGACTCGTCACATGTTTCTCTTGACACAATTCACAGATCATAATGTGTTCTGCTGCAAAGGCTTTCCGAGGGAGCAAAAAGGATTCAACTGTTGGAGAGGTAAATCTTTATGCAGCAAACGA